CCCTTCCCCTCTCTCTAAAAATAAAATAAATAAAATATTTAAAAAAAAGAAACATCAGAAAGAGAAAGCAATGAAGAAAACAATCCTATTTACAACCACAACAAAAATTAAAATATCTAGTAATAAACTTCACAAAGGAGGTGAAAGACCTATACACTGAAAACTACAAGACACTGTTGAAAGAAATTGAGGAAAACATAAAGAAATGGAAAGATAGTCCATGTTCATGTATTGGTAGAATTAACATTGTTAAAATGGCCATATTATCTAAATCAATATACAGATTTAATGCAATCTATATCAAAGTACCAATGGCATTTTTCACATAAGTAGAAAAAATTCTCAGATTTGTATGGGGCCATGAAAGACCCCAAATAGCTATATTAATCCTGAGGGAAAAAAAGAACAAAGCCATAAATATTACAATGTCTGACTTCAAAGTATGTGTATACTACAAAGCTATAGTAATCAAAACAGTATGATATTGGCAGAAGAACAGAAACACATATTACTATAACAGAATTGGGAGCCCAGAAGTAAACCCATACATATGTGAGCAACTAATTTTTATCCAAAGAGCCAAAAACATACAATGGAGAAAGAAAATGTTCTTCAATAAATGGTGCTGGGAGAATTGAAAAGCCACATGAAGAAAAATGAAACTAGTCTTTTGACACCATACATAAATATTAATTTAAAATGGGATAAAGACTTGAACATAAGACCTGAAACAATAAAATACATAGAAGAAAGCATAGGCACTAAACTTAGGTTCTCTGCTGTCAGAGTGGGTTTTTGGAAACTTGACCCCATAGGGAAGGGATGTAAAAACAAAACTAAACAAATAGTACTAGATCAAATTAAAAAGATTCTACACAGCAAAAGAACCCATCAACAAAACAAAAAGGCAACCAGCAAAATGGGACAGGATATTTGCAAACAATACCTCTGACAAGGGGCTAATATCCAAAATACATAAAGAAAGAAGAGGACCTACATCCAAGATTGCTCTATCCAGCAAAGCTATAATTTAATAGAAGGGTAGATAAAGTGCTTCCCAGATAAGGTCAACTTGAAGGAGTTCATCATCACCCAGCCCTTATTATATGAAATGTTAAAGGGACTTATCTAAGAAAAAGAAGATGAAAATATGAACAATAAAATGACAATAAACTCACAGTTATTAACAACTGAACCTTAAAAAAAACTAAGCAAACAACTAGAACAGCAACAGAATCACAGAAATGGAGATCACATAGAGGGTTATCAGTGAGAGAATGGGAGGGGGAGAAAGAGGGAAAAGGTACAGGGAATAAGTAACATAAATGGTAGGTAGAAAATAGACAGGGGGAGGGTAAGAACAGTATAGAAAATGGAGAAGCCAAAGAACTTATATGTATGACCCATGGACATGAACTAAAGGGAGGGAATGTGGGTGAGAGGGGTTGTGCAGGGCAAAGGGGAATAAAGATAAGGGCGGGGGAATGGGACAACTGTAATAGCATAATCAATAAAATATATTTTTAAAAAGGAATACAACAACAACAAACAAACAATAAATTAAAAATAGAGAACCGGAACAGACACTTTTCTAAGGAAGACACACAGATGGCCAACATATACATAAAAGATGCTCAACATCAATGGGTATAAGGGAAATGCAAATGAAAATCATAATGAGATACCACTTCACACTTCTTAGAATTTCTATTATCAAAAAGACAAGAAATAACAAGTGTTGGAAAGGCTGTGAAGAAAAAGGAACCCTCATTCACTGCTGGTAGGAATGTAAACCACAGCCATTTTGGAAAACGATATAGAGGTTCCTCAAAAAATGAAGAATAGAGCTACTAACATTCCCTCTTCTGGGTATGTACTTGAAAAGTTTGGTAACATTATTTGTAAAGATAATATACCCCTGTGTTCATCACAGCGTTATTCACAGTAGCTGAAATATGGAAACAACCAAAGTGTCATTTGACCGATGTTTGAAAAAAAATACATGGTACATGCATACAGTGTAAATCTGCTCAGCCATAAAAAGATGAAATATTGCCATTTGTTGTGGACCACTCTGCCTGGTTTCAGGAATTGTAACTACCTCCCATGGCTAAGGATGAGTGAGCGACCTCTGGCATGCAAGCCACAGGAAACAAAGCTTGTCTCTGGTAGCAAACACTGCCTCGGTTTCCTCTCCTTGTCCCCAAAGCATGGTTGGAAGTCAATGATGGGTAAGACCCCTCACAGCAGGGGTGGGTCAACCCAAGTCAGACTTGATTGCTTGGGAGGCCATCATGGAAGGACTGGGGGGGGCTGCAACAAAGAGCAAGCAATAGACCCATGCCCCCTGGCTATGTGACATAGCCCAAGTTCCCCAGTCCTCTGGGAGAAGCACTTCCTGGCTCTAATCCACTTAAGCCTGAGAACCTGATGGGATAAAAAACCAAAAGCAACAAAAGAATAAGCAAAACAAACAAACAAATGGATACAGACAACAGTATGGTGGTTCCCAGAAGGGAAGGGGTATGGAGGAAGGGTGAAGAAGGTAAAGGGGGTCAAATATATGGTGACAGAAGGAGACTAGAATTTGGGTGGTGAGCACACAATAGAAGGAAATCCTGCTATTTGAAACAACACAGATGTAACGTGGTCATATTATGCTGAGGCAGATAAATCAGAGAAAGAAAAATACTATATGGTATCTCTTATATGTGGAATCTAACCCCCCCGAAATCTTTAAAATTTTGTATTGAATTTATTGGTACTAGATTGATTAATAAAATTATATAGGTTTCAGGTATATAATTCTGTAATACATCATCTGTACACTGTATTGTGCTCAATACCAAAATCAAGTCTCCTTCCACACCATTTCTCCTTCTTTACCCTCCTTTACCTCCTCCTACCCCCCTTTTCTTTTGGTAATCACCACACTGTTGTCTGTGTCTATGATTTTTTTCTTAGTCCCTTCATGGGCCTGTAGAGTCTTATAAGTGAAATAAGCCAGTCAGAGAATGACAAATACTTTATAATTTTAATTATATGTAGAATCTAATGAACAAAATAAACTACCAAAAAAATAGAAAGAGACATACATTCAGAGAATAAACTGACATCTGTCAGAGGGAAAACACCTGAAATCTTAAAAGCAGAGAGTAAAATGATGGCTACTGGGGAATAGAGAATGAGAGAGATGTTGTTTAAGGGCACACACCTGCAACCAGTAGATAAATAAGCCCCAGAGATCTAATACACTGTACAATGATTATAGACAACAAAACTGTAGTATAAACACTAAACTTGGTAAGAAAGTATATTTTAGTTGTTTCTAACACTATAAGAAATTATAATTATGTGATATAAGAGAAGTTTTAGCTAATGGTACAATGGCAATCATATTGCAATTATAAATGTATCAAAACAACATATTTTCACCTTAAACTTACTCAATGCTGCATGTCAAATATATCTTAAAAATTGTCAAAAAAGGGTAATTATGTGAGGTGGTGGATATGTTAACCAGCTTGATTGTGGTAATCATTGCACATAAACATTGCAGTATATATATAGCAAATCATCATGCTATACATTTTAATTGTGTACAATTTTTATTCATCAATCATATCTTGATAAAGCTGAAAAACCATATTTAATTATCCATGTCAGTACCTTAGGGCTCAGATAATTAATTGGGCTATTAAAATATTACAACTGCAATGAGTCTGCATTTCATTATATCATCAATTTAGTAATATAACCACTAAGTTACCTCAATCTAAAAAGAAAAAAAAACAAAAAACAAAGCTCTTCTACCTTCTGGAAATTTACTGTGTATATAACCATGAATAAAAAATATAGAAAACCTCGTCGAAATCCTTGTTCCCATACTGCAGTGATACAGAATGTGAATCAATGATGGGTCTCAACAAAATTGTAAATTTCTTCTTGTCATAGACCTTTGAAAATCATTAAACAGTGAGTATCAAATCCATAAATGTCAGAAGCTTGCTATACTTCTATTTTTGCACTTGCACTTTTGTCACTGAACAACTATTGCACCGATGAGAACGTAAGCTTCTTGGGGATAGGGCCTCTGTTTTGTCATTTCTTTTCTACTAAATTCGGCCTAACACAGAGCAACCACTGCAAAAACATTTGTTGAATTAACTTGCTTCCCTAATTGGTCTCCCTGCTTTCAGGCCATCCTCCTCTCTGAAATTCTGACAGTTCTTTTAGAAAAATACATCTCTGACAATGTAATTCCATGGTTCTCAAATCTTTAGTGGCTGTTCATAATCTGTTTTACAGGATTATGTACACATATCCTGTGGGGGGGCATATAAGGACCTTCAAACCCTGCCCTCAGTCAATATTCTGTCTTACAACCAGGCTCTTCTCTTCACACACCCTCTTCTCAAGCCATACTAAGTATGCCTCGAACATACTGGATTTTTTTTTTTACTCTGTACCCTTGCAAATGCTGTTTCCTCTGTTTAAAGCTCCTTCCACTCTCATGTGCCTGGCACACTTATTACCTATTAAAGCTCAGCTTAAATATCACTACCTTTGTAGCTTTTCCTGACCCGTCGCAGAATTAATGTCTCCCCCATTTGTTTTTTCTATATCAATATGTTTATTTATTCTGAAAAATGAACTAATCTGAGGGAAAAGGGAAGAAGAGAAGGAAGGAGAAAGCACCCTGTCAATGGACTTACTCAAGCAGGGACTGCAGGATTACGTGTTAAGCGTATTGTTCAAGCAACAGTGGGAGGATGAAGCTGAGTGACCTTTAAGTTATGACATGTTAAGGTGCCTCTTTGACACTGCGTGTATGTGTTGTCATGTGTGTTGGGGGCAGAGTGCAAAGAGGAAGAGAAAGAAACAGAGCTCAGAGAGGAGATGAGCATGGACTCAGTGCAGTAAGAGCAGATGGGCAGACCCAAATTTCTTCTTCTTTACAGTTTTGCAGAGGTCTAGCCCTGCATCTAGCACTGTAGCAAGTGGGTGGGAGAGGAGAAAAGGGGAGGGCTGGTACTCTCTGAGCGTGCCCAGGCTCCACTGCCTGACGGGATCACCTTCCGCTCCCAAATAGCCAGTCCCTATTCGCCGTGACTCATGCTTATTGTGCCAGCAAGGGCGCACTCGGCCCTGCAGCCCCACAGGTGGTGGTAGCTGGGTGAGAAGGTTCCAGCCAGGGTAGGCAGTGGAGCGCCGCGCAACGAGCTTTCCTGCCTCCCAGCTGCGGCCCCAACAGTTCCGACCCAGCGCCAGCAGGCCTGCTCGGTCGATCTTCGAGCTGAAGATGCGGCGGGGCTGGAAGATGGCTCTGTCCGCGGCGCTGCGGTGCTGCCGCCGGGTACTTTCTTGGGTGCCAGTGCTTGTTATCGTCCTCGTCGTGCTCTGGTCTTATTATGCCTACGTCTTTGAACTCTGCCTGGGTAAGTGGAGCTGGGCACGTAAGGTAGGGACATTATGCTCCAGCATTACGGTCTTCACGGTGGTGTTCCCTGTGCTCTTCGCCCTCACACTGCGGTTTTTCTTTACTTCTCTACAGAGCCCCCCCACCTCCAGCTGCTGGTTTCCCACAGTATTTCTTGCACCCTCCCACGAGGGTCCCGCCTGGTCTCCATCCCTTCTCACCTAGGGTTTCTCACATTATTTCCTGGCCTTGCTCACAAGGAATTCCTTGCTCTTCCCACTAGGGCTCCCTTTTCTCATACCGGACAAACACTTGTGCCGCCTTGTATTTTCGTTCTGGGGTCTCCCGCCCTACCAAAGTGAGGAAACAGCATATCCCCTATCCTTAAACTATCTACTTACATTTTGAATCCCACCAATGCATTCAACTAGGAGCGCCACATTTCCCAAATCCTCTTCCTGAGAATCTCAAAATATTTCTTGTATTATCTTACTAGCTCTCCTTTTTCCAACACAGGGATTCATCCTTTTCCTGTATCTGCTCACATTGTCTGAAGTGCTTCACATTTTCTCCCACTTGGGACTCCCCAGCACACCTTGTTCTACACCATCAATGTTAATTAACCCTTTCGCAAAGTGGTAAACCGTCCATTCACTTTCCCTGTGAGGTTCACTATTTTTTTTTTCCATTTTTCTCCACTGTAATGGGAGCCCTACAGTATTTCCTACCTTGTTCCCTCACACTAGAGCCCCTAACTTTATCACACTAAGGTTCCCTTTAGGCTCCTGCCTTCCTGCTTTGAGGAGCATTCAGTACTTCCCTTAGAGGCTCCACATTATTTTCTGACACCTCATGCTACTCAGCTTGCTTTTTATCACACTATGGCCCTGCCTTGTCCATTGTTTTCTCACACTAGAATGTCCTCTTTACTCTCTCACAAGGGTTCTCACAGTATCTGTTATACTCTTTCCAAGGGCCACTACTTTTCTAATGTTGATCTGCCCTTTCATCTTTTTTGAGATCTACTCCACACCTCCTCAATTCCTCTTCCACAGTTAGCCCCACATTTGCCATCCTCTTTCTCTGGGATTCTTCCTGTTATTTTTCTCTTACTTTCCCCTAGGATTACACTTGTACACACTGTCTTCTCAAACAGGAAAAACACCATCTGTTCCCTCTGAAATTTCCAATATTTCCTGTCCCTTTCATTGGGAACTTATTTCCTGCCCCCCTTCATTAGACCACCCATTTTTATAAATTCGAGATGTCCTCTTGTGCTCTGTCCTATCACACTAGGGAACATTCCATCTTCTCCTTATATATAAAATGGTTTCCACAGTATATCCTATTCCTATAAACTCAAAATTCCACAATTTTTCTAGACATAAACCCTAAGACCCTATCCTGTGGTTCCACTACTTGGATTACCCTAGAGTCCCTTATCTTTATCGCTAATGTCCTTATTTTATCCTATCTCCTCAGAGCATAACCTTTGCTTTTCTCACAGTGAAATCTCCCCCTGCCCCTATTGTCTCATATTGAGGAATTCCCGTTTCTTCTCTGAGATTTGACTAATAGTTATTGTCACCTTAATACTAGAATCCTATTTCTATCACCCTCAAACTTGTGTCCTATAATGTTCCCTATTCATTCAGGGTGAGCTCCCAAGATATTTCCTATCCTCTCACGTTAGGACTCCTATTTGTCCTGTTGGACATTCCCTCCCAATTTCTTCCAAGACTGCTTTATTTCTTCATACCAAATTCCTCTCGCCTTAAAAATTATGGTTAGGGTCCTGCTTTATTCCAACCCCAGGACTGACTCCACTTGTAACTCCTTTCTCTTACATATTTTACAAAGCAATAGTCCATTCCAGGTAGACTGGGTTTAACTAGGGAGGTGGCAGGTAACCTTTTCCAATATAGTATTTTCTTCTAATCAGTTTTGTGCATCAGAGTTTAAAATTTTCTCATCACCTTCTTAGATTTATTGTAGAAAATGGTGAAACAATTATTAAAATTAAATACAATTAGTTGCCTTCACAGGTACAAATTTTGGCTTTGTTCTTTTTTTGTCTAAACATGATATTGGGGTTCATTAAGTGGGCTGTGCAATGACGAAGTTTTTCTATTCTTAGACCTCACCATCTTGCTTTTTTGAAGGATTGATTGAAGGGTTAAAAGTTCAGCTCCATTATCATGGCATGGACTTTGTGTCTAAGTTCAATGCCATATTGTAGATACTGTTACACATATTTTGGAATTTTTCAATACTGACCTACATGAGCTTTGCAAAGGAAACATTTAAAAATTAATATGATTATGGCTAACAGTTACATTGTTCTTAATCTGTGGCAGGCAATACTCTAACCACTATAGATATATTATTCTCTATATATTAACTTATTCAACCCTCACAATAATCAAACTGTCTCCACTGTACAAAATGTGCAAACTAAGGCACAGATGAGCAAAATGGGGTAAAGACTAAGTTAGAACCAGTGCAAGCAGTCTATGTGTTAACTACTACAGTGCCTCCTTTCAACTAATACAGAGGTCAAAACTTATGACTCACAGGCCAAATGTAGGCTGCAGATGTATGTTATTTGGCCAGAACAGTGTTTTCTTAACATTTTGCCCCACTTACTATTATTTAAAACACAAGAGAGTAAGGTAGCCTTCACTTTCAGTTTGGCTCCACCAGTCTATCCCGTCATTTTAACATTTTACAATCTTTAACAAATTAAAGACCTGGATTTCAGAAAGATTAAATTACATTTTCTTAGTCACATGTTTAGTAAGTTAATGGACAATTGGATGTCAAGACTGCCTGATATAAAAGAAACACAACCAAATTAACAGATTTGAGTTTCAGTATGTCTCAAAAAGTAATATTAAGGACTTCTTTCCAGAAATAGAACCTGATGTCTTCCTCTCTAATGTGAGGTTAGAGCTGAAGCCCAAAAAAAGGGGGTATTTTTGTCTTAGAGTGTGAATTTTGCCATTTACTAACTACAGGACCTTCAGAAAGTTAAGAACATTTTCAGCCCCACATGGCTCACACAAACCTTAATTGTGCACTTGTTCATTCATATCAAAGACGTTGCTTAGCATCTACTATATGCCATTATAACATTGTTATTGTGAGATTATAAATAATGTAGTATGTGGAAAACCTGTATCACATTTGATAACACATTCTATGAGCTTATTAAATAATTTGTTACTATTTATTTTATTTTATTTTAATTGTTCAAGTACAGTTTTCTGCCCTTTACCCCTTTCCCAGCCCAACCCTCCAACCCTCCCAACCTCCCTCCCAAGTAACTTGTTACTATTATTAATGAGGATATAAGGGATTCTGCTTGGCTCAAGAAAATAACCAGCTTAGACTTTTAGGCAGGGAGAAAATGAAGAAATTCACTTTTTGAGGTAAAATTCTCGAGATAAAATTAACTAATTTCAAAGTATTCACTTCAGTGACCTTTAGAATATTCACGATGTTGCACACCATAACTAATATCTAGTTTCAAAACATTTAATCACTCCAAAAGGAAACCTCATTGTCATTAAAAAGTCCCTCTCCATTTCCTTCTATCCCCAGTGTCTACCGATCACTAATCTGTATTTTGTCAGTATGGATTTACCTACTTTAGATGTTTCACATAAATGGCATCATACAACACAAAGTGGGGCAAAACTAGGTTTACAATAGTTCATATGGAAAATAATATAATAATAAATAATACAAGAATAAACTCTGTTCTTCATACTCACAACTATGAACCTACTTTTGCCCCACTCTCTATGTGTGCATTTGTGTCTAGATTGTTTCAGTTAGTATAATATTTTTAAGGTCCATCCACAATGTAGTATCTAACAGTACTTCATTCATTTTTATGGCTGAATAATATTCTATTTTATGTACATACATTACTTTATTCATTCATTAGTTGATAGACATTTGGGTTGTTTCCACCTTTTGTCTATTTTGAACAGTGCTGCTATTAACAAATATTTGTTTGAATACTTGTTTTCAATTTTTTGAGTAAATATCAGGGAGTATGTGGAAATTGCTGGGCTGTATTCTATGTTAAACTTTTTAAGAAATCTCCAACATAATTTCCACAGTGGTTACACAATTTGACATTCCTACCTGTAATATAGGAGGGTTCTAATTTCTCCACATCCTCACTAACACTTGTGGTCTTCCCTTTTTATTACAGATATCATAGAGGGTGTGGAGCATCTCATGATTTTTATTTGTATTTCTATGATGATTAGTGGCGTTGAGCGTCTTCTCTTGTGCTTGTTGGCCATTTGTATATCTTCTTTTAAGAAATGCCTAGCCCTGGCTGGTGTAGCTCAGTGTACTGAGCACAGGCCTGTGAAGCAAAGGGTTGCTGGTTTGGTTCCCAGTCAGGGCACATGCCTGGGTTGCAGGCCAGGTCCCCAGTAGGGGGCACATGGGAGGGAGCCACACATTGATGTTTCTCTCCCACTCTTTCTCCTTCCCATTCCCTCTCTCTAAAAATAAGTAGGTAAAATTTTTTTAAAAAAAGAAATGCCTATTCAGGTTCTTTGCCTTTTAAAAATTGGGTTATCTGTCTTTTTGTTTTTGAATAGTAATATTTCTTTGTATATTCTTTATACTTGACTCCTATCAGATAAATAATTTACAAATACTTTCTCCCATTCCATGAGTTGCCTTTTCACTTTTTTGATAGTATTGCTTGATACATGCACAATTTTAATTTTGATAAAATTCGGTTTATCTATGTCTTTTTGTGGCCTGTGCTTTTGGTGCAAATCCAAGAATCCATTGCCAAGTGCAAGGTCATAGAAAATTATCCCTGTGTTTTCTCCTAAAAGTTGTATAGTGTTAGCTCTTACATTTGAGTCTTTGATCTATTAAGTCGATTTTTGTATATGGCATGAGGTATGAGTCCAGCTTCATTCTTTTGGATGTGGCTATGCAGTTGTTCCAGTATCATTTGTGGAAGAGGCTATTCTTTCTCCA